ATAATGGTCTTAATGCAGTATTTGTCTGTATGAGATTGAGTTAGTTCATTTAGCATAATGCTCTTCTGTCCCTCATAAGTTATGTAGTAATATTCAAAATCGTTGCTCCTGAGTGCTGCATATTCCATCATGTGAATGTACGACAATTTCTCAATCCATTCAGATGTGGTTGGATATTTGGGCTGTTTCCATGTTCTTGCAGTGGTAAATAATGCTGCTGTGAATACTGGTGTACAGATCTCTGTTTGTGTCTCAGTTCTAATCTTTTCAGGGTATATTCCTAGCAGGAGAATAGTTGGGTCATATGGAATATGTATGCTCAGCTTTCTGAGGAAATGTCAGACTGCCTTCCAGAGTGGTTATACCATTTTACAATCCCACAAACAGTGTTAAGAGTCACAGTCTCTCCACAATCCTCTCTTACATACATTGCTTGCTGTCCTGTTAAATTTTGCCACTGCTACTGGGGTGAGATGGTATCTCATTGTTATTTTGATTTGCATCTGTCTTACTGCCAGTGATTTTGAAAATTTCTTCTTGTGTCTATTACCCATGTGAATGTCATCATCTGTGAAAAGTCTTTCCGTGTCTTTTGCCCATTTTGTAATTGGATTATCAGTCTTTTCTTGTGGAAGTTTTGTGGGATTCTTTAAACTTTTGATAGAAGACCCTTGACTGAAACGATACTCCTAATCCCCCCCCCCAGTTTCACCTTATTGGAAAAAGTTTTTGATGCACACAGGAATTTAATCTTTAGAAGGTCCCATTTATCATTTTTATCCTCTCTTGGTTGTGTATTGCTGGCTATATTTGTCAACTTCTACATACCTTGGACTGGGCTTTCTAAGCTTGGTCCTGCTTTGTCTCTTACTATCTTTATGGTTTGGGCCTTTACCGCTAGGTCTCTGATCCACCTTGAGTTGATTTTTGTGTATGGTGAGAGGTGTGCATCCTGCTTCAGCTTCCTGCAGGTGGCTGTCTGGTTTTTCCAGCACCATTTGTTCAAGAGGTTGTCATTTCCCCATCTGATAGGTTTTGTTTCCTTGTGGAATATCAGTTGGCCGTAGGTAGATGGATTAATTTCTGGGTTCTCGGTTCTGTTCCATTGGTCTATATGCCTGTCATTGTACCAGTGCCATGCAGGTTTTGGTTATTACAGCTGAGTAGTAGGTTTTGAGATTAGGGAGTGCTTTGTCCCCCACTTCATTCTTGTTTTTCAGAAGGGCTTTGCTTATTCAAAGTCTCTTTCCTCTCCAAATAAACTTGTTTCCTCTCCAAATAAACTTGCCAATTGCCTTTTCTATTATTTTGAAAAATGAATTAGGTATTTTTATTGGGATTGTGTTGAACATGAAGATTGCTTTGGATAAGATTGTAATTTTCACGATAGTGAGGCTTCCTACCCATGAACAAGGAACATTTTTCCATTTACATAAGGCTTTTATTGTTTCTTATAGAAGTGTTTTGTAGTTTTCTTTGTAAAGGTCTTTTTCGTCTCCAGTTAGGTTAGGTTTATTCCTAAGTATTTAAGTCTGTGGTTGTCTATTGTAAGTGGTATTGCTTTCTTATTTTCCTTTTCTGTTTTGTTACTGTAGAGGAACCCCACTGGCTTGGATATTGATCTTGTATCCTGCCACCCTATTAAACTGGCTTCCTAGCTCTTATAATGTTTTGTTTAGTCCTTGGGATTTTCTGTGTACACGGTTACCATCTGCATATAGCGACATTTTCACCATCTCTTTGCCGATCTGCATGTCTCTTATTTCCTTCTCTTGCCATATTGCCCCAGCAAGTACTTTCAATACAATATTGAATAGAAGTGGTGAAAGTGGGCATCCTTATGACTAGAAACTTTTCATTTCTAAGTCTTTGAGAAAGAGGAATAGCATCTGATAAAGGCCCAACATTAGATGTAGCCTTGCTAGAAGTGGAGGAAAATGTTGGAACAGAAGTTAGAGTTGGGGGAAAGCTTGCATTTACTGGGCTAGCTAACACTTGAGAATCCCCTGAGGTGGTCACCCTGAAGGTCTTTCCAGGCCTTAAGCAAAAGTGAGCCCTAGAGTATAATAATAAATAAATAATAATAACAGTTTGGCTTATAAAATAAGAGCATCACCCATAAATACTGTTACTGTGAAAATTCATCTCTGTGAAACCAAAGGGTCAACAGTTACTCTAAAAGAAAGAGGAATCTGTCAGGGAACGGGGGAAACTGAAACACTAAACCAGAGTGAGTAGGCATGTTGACATTCCCTGAAAAACAGGAACGTAATTTGCTATGTAAAATTCATGAAAGCATAGTAAAATACTATTTTAATTTAAAAAAAGAAGAAGAAGAAAGGAGAGCCAGGGAACTATCCCATCACAGCATTAAACTCCTCTTCCTCAAACCATCAGTTTTTATCCTTCCCAGTCCACTGGCTTCTCCCAACTGCCCTTCTTTTTGGTTTATATCATGTAGCGGTGGTAACCAAAAGCTTGGCAGTTCAAACCCAGATGCTACTCTGCAGGAGAAAAGACAGGCAGGCAGTCTCCTCACTCAAAGATGTACAGCCTTGGAAACCTTTGAGGAAGTTGCTGTGAGTCAGAATTGACTTGGTGACATTGGGTTGGTTTGGGATCCAGTAACTGGGAATGAAACCTCTGAAATGTCCGTGGTCATCACTCTTTGTTCCGTGCTCCAACTCACCATGTACAGTGTTGATTCCATCGTCCTTGAGGCTTACCTGGTGCCCCTGTCACTGCTCACTCCAGCTGACCCCGCTCCTTCCCCTTTGTTCACATTGCTCCAGACACCCCACCAGGCCTGCTCTCCTGTTGTGGTAAACCTGCTTTTCAGCCCCAGTGTCCTCATGGTTATCATCACCATCTCAATATTTCATTCATTGAGTCCCCACTATGGGCCCAGGTACTGGGAGGTTGACACATTTATTTCTTAGAAAGGAAGTCCTTGTTCTCCCAAGAAGGGAGGGAGGGCAGAGAGGAAGTTACCTGTCTGGGGTTCCTATGCCTTCAAAGGGGGGATTCACACTCAGGTGACTCACTCTTCCTCCTCATCAACACCTGTCACTCTGTCCTCATGACCCCCATGCTTGCATCCCTGCCTCAGGGCCTCCACAGTACCCTCAGCTTGCCTTCCCAGCCTGCATCTTTTATTATATTCTGCACTTTGGTTTGAGTCATAAATACTTGATGTTATTTGCACAGCGCCACCCTCCAGTGCCCCTTTAGTGCTCAGCTTCATTCCAGCCTCATGAACGTACTGATCCCTTAAGGGTACCACACCCAGCAAAAAACCAAGCCCACTGTTCTCCAATAGATTCCGACTCTTGACCCTGGGATGGAGTAGAAATGCCTCATGGAAGAGGTAGCTGGTGGTTTTGAACCACTGACTTTTGGATTAGCAGTCCAAAGCTCAATCCACTGTACCATTGAGTTCTTTCCCTTAAGGACAAAGTCTGTTTCTGATCCTTGTATGTCCATGGCAGTTAGCATACATACAGTACCCAGCACCCATTCCTTGAGACGAATTAGTGATGGAGAAGTACCGAGTTTGTCCAAGACCTTCAAGGCCAGCAGTCCCACAGAGCAACGTGAGCTGCTGCAGTCCCTGGTATGAAAAGCAGCCCCTGCGCACACGTGAAGTCCCACACCTTGCCTTGACAAGCTCTTCTCCTTGTCTTTGGTAAAGGTGTCCCCTTCTGCTCTCTGTCACTCAACAGTGGTTAGGTCTAGGACCCTCTACAACACTAGTATGACCTTACTAACACAGCAAAACAAAACCCCTTCTCCCCAGTGGGATCGCTTTCTTAAGTGCAGCCCTATACTTAGGGGGACACCTAACCCATCACCTACCACTGTCTAGTCAATTCCCATTCATAGTGACTCCTGGTGACCCTGGAGGAGAGGGTAGAACCTGCCTGATTGGGGGTTTCCATGGCTGTAAATCTCAGTGGGAGCCTACTGCCCATCCTTCTCCTGAACAGTGGCTGCTGGCTTCCAACCAAGGACTTGCCTGTTAGCCACCCACTGTTTGGTTACTCCACTGCACCACCAGGTTCTCGGTCTTTGTCCAAAACCATACCTACTGCTGTGGGGTCAGTGGGGATGCTTCACTGGGTCATAAACACTGCTCTGTAGTTCTTCACTCTGCTTCTCAAAGTTCAGTCTTTTTACTTGTGAACCAGTGGAAGAGTGACCTTATGTGTTTCTTGGGAGACTGTTAGGACTTTTCATTTTCATAATAGAAATATTTGAGAATAGTATTAACTATACTATGGACTGCTGGGAGAACAAACAAGTTCATCCTGGAGAGAGTGAAACTAGGCTCCTCCTTGGAGGCAAGGATTCTGAAGCTTCCTTGTACTTACTTTGGACATGTTGCAAAGAGGGACCAGTCCTTGGAGAGGAGTGTCATGGTTGGGAGGGTGGAGGGATAGCGCAAGAGAGGAAGAACCTCGATGAGATGGATTGACTCAGTGACTGGGGAAATGGGATTGATATGTCAGAGACAATAAGGTTGGCTCAGGATAGAGCAGTGTTTAGGGCTGTTATACATATAGGGTCGCTATAAGTTGCAGGTGACTTGATGGCACATAACAACAACAACAACAATAGAAACATTGCTTTACAGTTAACTGATTATTAAAACAGTAGTGTGTCCCCCTTAACTTTCTCTACTCTTGTTAGACTAACCAGCATATTTCTTAAAAACATTATGTATGTTTGTATTTTCTCTATCTACTTCACAATGCAAATTTCTAATGGAATAACTTGAAACTCATTCATCATCTGCGTTCACAAGTTAATATTGTGTTAACGGTAGTGGTATTGTCTGAAACATTCCACTTCAGCATCGGCTGGTATTTTGAGTGAGAATAGTGGTAGAAATCTTCTAGATAGCTTCACCCTTGGAAGTATGTTCTCCGTGGTGGTACGTGGCTTCACTTTTCAAAGCACCTATGTTCGCCAGGTGTTTGACACTACACCTCTCTTTTCAGTTTCTGCAGATGGAGGGACCGAGTCCTCTGCCTTAGTTGATGACAACGGGAGTGAAGAGGACTTCAGCTATGAGGAGCTCTGCCAGGCCAACCCTCGCTACCTGCAGCCAGGCGGGGAGCAGCTCGCCATCAACGAGGTACAAGAAAGGACCCGCTTTCCGGCATCCACAATCCCTGCAAACTGGCCTGATTTTTTTTTCTTTTTAACTAAACATTTCCTTAGACCTAGAACACTGACTAGAACAACAGTATGGTTTTCTGGCCTTGTCAACATGGGGTGCTATTTTCCAGACAACTGGAGTCTTCCATCCCTTTAATTAATAGCAGCAGCAATAGTTAGCATGTGGATAGTGCACATTTCAGTATCCAGAATGAAATAAGTCTTAAAAGTGACCTAATAGGTAAGAGGCACAATTATGACCTATGTTTTAATAGGCACTCAGAGAAAGAAAGATAGACTTAAACTCAGAGTTGCTGACATGGGGCAATCCTTGGTTTCTAGGACTGTAAAGGAAGCTTTGTCTTTTGGCTAGCAGCCACATGCCTTAAACATAGCACCACCAGGACCCCCACACCCTAGGATAGGCGTCTGCTGGTGAGCACCAACTCTAGGTCTCTCCCTGAATGACCCTCTCCCCAGCCCCACCTGCTGGGTCCCCAGCTCCTGTACGTGCTGTGCTCAACGTGGCCGTACATCCCATTTCAGCTCATCAGCGATGGCAGCGTGGTGTGCGCAGAAGCCCTATGGGACCATGTGACCATGGATGACCAGGAGCTGGGCTTTAAGGCAGGGGACGTTATCCAGGTCCTGGAGGCCTCCAACAAAGACTGGTGGTGGGGCCGGAACGAGGACAAGGAAGCCTGGTTTCCTGCAAGCTTTGTCCGGGTGAGTGGGAGCTCGACCCTCCATGGACATGAGACAGGGTACTGGGTGTGGGGCCGGAATGAGGACAGGAAACCTGGTTCCTTGCAGGCTTTGTCCGGTACCATCGGGGGACCTGGGCTTGGGGGCAGCTGTTCTCACTTGCACACTGACTCAGCTCTGCTGTCGTGGTTGGTAATCCCATATGCAAGTCACACCCGTATGAGGTGCTCTGAGAGCATTAAGGAATGAGGCCACATTAAAGTGAGCAGTCTAACCACAAGGCTCGCTCCCTGCTGGCTGTTCCTGCCAGGCTCCTGGCATCAGCCAGCCCTGCCTTCCTCTAGGGAGCACAGGCAGGCAGAGGCCCTCAGCTCCGTACACAGCTCACCGCTAAGTCAGCTGCTCTTCGTGTCACCCACAGTTGCGAGTCAACCAGGAAGAGCTGGTGGAGAACTCGAGCAGCACCCAGGGCGAGGAGCAGGATGAGGGTGCAGGCCACTCCCGCCTCAAGCATGTGGAAAACCAGCAACAGATGAGGACGAACGTGATCCAGGAGATCATGAACACAGAGCGAGTGTACATCAAGCACCTCAAGGACATCTGCGAGGTGAGGGATGGGCCCTCGCGTCCCTCGGGTTAGATCCTGCTGCTAGGCTCTCCTCCATCCCCAGTCAGACTGTGAGCTCTCCTGTTTATCCACGTACCTGCACTCTTCAGTTCTCCCTCCATGCATGCCTACCCAGTCCATGCACAGTTATTGTTGTTAGGTGCCATCAAATTAGTTCTAATTCATAACAATTCAGTGTAAATACAATGAAACACAGCCCGGTGCTGAGCCGTCCTCTCGGCTGAACCCCTTGTGCGGCCACTGTGTCTCCTTGAGAGTAATTTCCTTTTTTGAAAACCCTATACTTTGCTGCATGTGATCCCCAGGGACCAGTCTCTCCTGATAATATTCTCTCTCCAAAATATGTGGAGAAAATCTTGTCATTCTTGTTTCCAAGGGGCTTTTTGGCTGTACTTCTTCCAAGATGGGTTTGCATAGACTCCCGCTCAGTTCATTAATCCTGGTTGTGGACACCAGTGGAGGCATCCGTGGTTCAGTAATAGAATTCTCCCCTCACATGCTGGAGTACGGGGCTCATCTCTGGCCGATCGATGCTCCTCGTGCATGCCTGGGCATCTCCATCTCTCCATAGAGCTTAGCATGCTGCTATGATCATGGAGATCTGGTGGCTAAGTGGTAAGGAGTTGCTCTGTCAACACAAAAAGTACACAGTTCAAATCCACTAGCTTCTCTGTGGGAGAAAGATGGGCGGTCTCCTCCCGCGTGATTTACTGCCTCTGAAAAGCACTTGAGGGTCAGCTCTGGGTCAGTTCTGACTTGATGGTACACAACAACGATGATGATGGCAGGTTTCAGTGACACTCCCAGACCCAAAAGGATTAAAAAGAAAAGCCTGCCCATCCAGTTCTGGACATGAGCCAGGGGATCACAGACAGCAATGCTGTCCACAGGACGATGCAGGACTATATTGGCAGACCCACCTGACTTGACAAAGGTCTTTTGGGATGCACAGCCACACTTATCTAATTATTTGAGATACAGACATGATTCTGAGTCACTGCTATGCTGTAGGGATCAACAGAACACTTGGTTTTATCTATTGATAGCGGAAGGCTGTTGACTGCAGCATCACAAGATTTGCTCTGCAGTAGACTCTTGACAGTCTGATCCTGTTCCTGACTGCAGACAGTGTTCCAGTGCAGCGTTGTTCTGCCAGCCTGATAGGCCCATCCATCTTCACTGTGGTTGGCGGTCTGGATGGCAGTCAGGGCACGAGGATCTCAGCAGGGTAGTTCAGAGCTGAAGACAAGCTACAGGGAGTGAACCTACCTGAGAGAGACATTGCAGTGAGAAGCTTATTTGTGCTATCTTAGTCTATGTGAATACATGATGAAGGAATTTTTCTGTAAGGTGTTTTGTGTTTGTTTTTTTTTTAATGTACCTAACTGCTTGTAACTGTTGAGCACTGATTATATGCCATCCATTTATGTGGTCTTGCTCTGCTAACGCTCACAGCCCAGCAGCAGCCTCTCACCTGGCTGTGCTTTGGTGACTCCTGAGTGGCTGTGATGCTGGACATGATGCCTCTGGTATTTCAGATACCAGGAGGGTCAGCCAGGGTGGGCAGATTTCTGCAGAACTTCCTAAGTAAGACTAAGAAGAAAGTGCTGGTGATCTACTTCGAAAGTTAGGGGAAACCTTAAGGATCACAACTGCAGAACATTGTCTGACACAGGACTGGGAGTGAGCCTTGAGGCTGGAAGCAACAGTAACTCCAGCACACTATGGTCACACAGTCGGCATTTCACTCTGCTGTCCCTGGGTCACCATGGGTCACCACTGACTGGACAGCAGCCAACAACAGGGCTCCTGGCACTCCCTCTGGGGAGTCCCACTGTTGCCCATACTGCACATCAAAATGAGTCAGGGGAGGGTGCTGTGTGCTGGCCTTGTGCTTTAAACCCAAGCGATGTCCTCCAGAAGCTGTGCACTGGGCACTTAGCCATTTCCTTATATTGCCTTTTTGTTCAAATATATTTTTAATAATCAGTGGGCTGTATGCGCCTTAGAGTCAGTTTGATGCATTTAACCATATGATGCAGACTTGCACAAATTTCTACTCAAGGCAAAATGGAGCCGTGCTATTGTAGACTAGGAATTAATTCGCCATGCTCTCATGAAAAATCTGGGAGTTTGCACTGCATGTAGAAGGTGCATGATCCAGAAATCCTTGGGAAGACATGCTGACAGCCACAATTAATCACGGGCAGCCCTGATGTAGCTATTGAGGCAGCTATGTCTGTGTGGCATGCTCGCTCAGCTGGGCAGTGTTGTTAGGAATGGGACAGTGAGCACCAGAAACGTTTAGAAAAAGTGCGACAGAACAGTTGTTGTTGTTAAGATTTGGCACTGGAAATTAGTAACTTGTTTTGTGAGTTTCATCTGGAAATGTACACTTTTAATTATAAATCAACCCCACATGCAGTTTTCCTCTTTACTTTTTTTTTAAAAAAAAATTTATGGCAAATTGTAGTCATGGACATATAATTATCCCAGCAAAGAACAGTAACCATTCAGTTCCAACCTTAACAACCTGTAGGACAGAGTAGAACAGCCCTATAGAGTCTCCAAGATTGTGATCTTTATCAGAACAAACTGCCTAATCTTTCTCCTATTGAGCAGCTGGTGGATTCTTTAGCAACACAAAGCTTAAGCCACAGTGCCACCAAAGTCTTTAACAGAGCCCTGGACATTAAAAGCCCAATTAAAAATACTTCAAGACCATGACTTTGAGTTCAAATAGCTGTTGTTCAAATAACTTCCTTTAAAATTTTTTAAAAAGTTTGCTTTGCTTTGCTTTATTTTGTGATTTGAGTGAAGGTTTACCAAGCAAATTGTTCTCTCATTCAACATTCTGTACTTTTGGGTTCCTTCACATTAGTTTCAGTATCCACTTTGTTACCACTTTTTTCCTACTTCCTCTCTGTAACTCTGATTTCCATTAATCCTGCCACCTCACTGTGTCTTCTCATTATCAGTGATATTGTGCTGCGTATCCTCTTATTACATATGGCCTTTCCTATCACCCATTAATAGGTACCTGTCATCTGGTCGCTAATTTTCACTCCTCTACCCCATTGCAGATCCCTGGTACCCATCCAAGAATTATTCTCTCTGTATGTAAAACTTCAGCTTTTTCTAACAGAGGTCTTACACAATTTGTGTACTTTTGACTTATTTCAGTTATCATAATGTGCTCTAGATACCTCTACATTAGGCAGTGCTTCATGAGTTCTTTATTATCTTCAGTGTTGCATAGTATTCCACTGTGAATGTACCAGAGTTTGCTTTTTTTCTTTTTCAGGGCTATATTCGGCAGTGTCGCAAGCACACAGGAATGTTCACTGTTGCACAACTAGCCACTATTTTTGGAAACATTGAAGAGATCTACAAATTCCAAAGAAAGTTCCTGAAAGACCTTGAGAAACAGTACAACAAAGAAGAACCTCACCTAAGTGAAATTGGGTCCTGCTTTCTTCAACATGTATGTCACCCATTATGTCTCCATTACGATGTCCAGTTAATCAATGCCATTGAGTTGTTCCTCTCCTGATAATATGAGTCCTTTTTTTGATTCCTCATGTGTTTGTTGATTAATTTTCCATTAAATGGAGAAGTTACTTTTGGAAAATAATTAGATTTATTATATGGTTATCCTCTACCTAGTTAAATATTTCAAGTCCTCCCACTTTTTTTAAAATACATATTTGCTCACTTACTGTCATTGAGTTGAAACTGACTCATAGCTGACCTTCTTGGGTTTCTGAGGCTGTGAACTGCATGGGAGCAGATTGCTCGTCTGTCTCCTGAGGAGCCTCAGGAGATTTAAGCCGTCAGAGAGGTACCACGTTGGGTTAGCAGCGCAACTCCTTATTGTTAAAGAGTTTAGAGTTGGGACATTGTTTTCAGAGTTGTTTCTAATAATACTTATAGGTGATTACTTGCTGATTATTATTCATTGTTTCTAATAATACCTTATAGTCATTAAAGGATAATTTAAGGATATTCTTCCACCAGCTCCTGTACTGCTGTGATCAGGAGTCCTGGTAGCCCTGTGGGGTTACGTGCTTGACTGTAAACCACCACATGGTTAGTGGGTTCCCGGGACAAAGCTGAGGCGGTCTGTTCCATAAAGACTGCAACCACAGGGTCACTGTGAGTTGAAATTGACTCCACAGCCACAGTGGGTAGATCTTATCCCCATTTAACAGATAAGGAAACAAAGGACCAGACCAGAGAGTAACTGGTCCAGGGTGACCGTAAGTGTGGCAGATAGGAGTTTAGGGTGAAAGGCTGTGTGACTCTGGGATCCGTGCATGTGAGCAAGGTGGCTGACTATAGATCGTGGAGCGTGGAATAGGCTCATCATCTGTAACTGACTGCCAACTGCTGTTAAATACTGGATCGTTTCAGAGGTCCTATTTCCAGCCAGAATGTTCAGGGATTGATAATATGATACTAACAACAGGAAGAAACACCTGTCCTGTGTGCTGGGTCTGCCCATGTATGGAGGTGGCTCTCCAGGGTGGGCGGATTTTAAATAGATTGAAAGAAGGTTTGAGTTTGTAATGCAGGTGAGAAGGCTGACCTCCTCAGTGTCTATATTTGTACATATGTATTTGTGGCTGTTGTTAGAAGTCCTGTTTGGCCAGAGGAGATGGTCGGAGTAGAGGCTAGCCTCCCAGGTTCCATAAGGCTGTCCAGGCAGCTGGGCGGGGAGAAGCCTCAGGAGGGGGCGTAACAAGATGACTCCTGCCAGGGAACAAGAGGGTTTAGGTCTGGAGACACAAATGATTCAGGAGGGAGATGAAGTGGGTTTCAGCTCAGGGGGAAAAAAAATGGAAAAAGGCAGATTTGTTGAATTGGGTCTTTTTGGAGGAGAGCTGATGAGACTGGTCATGAGGACACAGAAAAACAGTAGTATAAACTGCTCGAGGGTTTTCTGTCTCAGAGCATTAACGAGTACGCACAGCTCAGGAGGTCTGTCTCCTCAGGAAATGGGGAGTTGGATTTGTGACATGTTGTGTTTGATCATCTCCAAGTATTAACTGTCACCGAGGACAGAGCATAAGAGGAATGTTGTCGTGTCAACCTGGAATCCTCAACCACTAGATGTCTGAGTAGACTGTGCAGCCTGGAGATTTTAGTGGCTGGGATTTGGGGAATAAGTAGCCAGCTCTTTCTTCTTAGGCACCTCTGGGTAGTCTTGAACCTCTGTAAACCCTTTCAGTTAACAGGGTTTCATTGTTGTTATGTGCCGTCAAGTCGCTTGCGACTCATAGCGACCCTATGTACAACAGCCCTAAACTCTGCTCTGTCCTATGCCAGTCGCACTGTCTCTGACACTCCCATTCCAATTATCCCAGTCACTGAATCAGTCCACCTCATAGAGGGCCTTCCCCTCCTGCGCTGTCCCTCCACCCTCCCAAGCATGATGTCCCTCTCCAAGGACTGGTCTCTCCTCACAACAAGTCCAAAGTATTTTAGACAGAGCCCCAGAACCTTTGCCTCTAAGGAGCAGCCTGGTTTCACCCTCTCCAAGACAAAACTGTTCATTCTCTTAGCAGTCCATGATATACTCAATACTCTTCTCCAACACCACGGCTCAAAGGCATCAATTCTCCTTCTATCCTCCTTGGTCATTGTCCAACTCTCTGATGCATAACAAGTGATTGTGAAGACCATGGCCTGTATCAAATGCACCTTAGTCTCCAGAGAGACACCATTGCTCTTCAGTACTTTGGAGAGGTCCCTAACAGCAGACTTTCCCAATGAAACACAGATAGACATTCCTCTGGTATTCTCTGCTTTCAGCTAAGATCCATCTAACATCAGCTACAATATCCCTAGTACCACGACCTCTTCGACCACCCTCTACCTCAGACCACAAGTTTTGTTTCAGGGCTGCTGCCAGGCTTCTCAAACTAGTGCTACTCTGGGTGACACCATCCCAGCCTCTCCATGGGGACCCAGCTGCTCGTCTGCAGGTATAAAGCTTGGCCTCTATCCCCACCACACTCAGTATGACTGACAGGACAGTCCTATGCATGGGCCAGAGTGCCTGTGAAATATGATTGGTTAATGCAACCCCCTTCTAGAGGGTGGTCGGTGCCCTCAGACTGCAGAGCACCATGGAGAGAAAGTGTGTGACCAGGTAGAGTGTCTGTGCTCCCTGACATGTCCAGCAGTTTCCCAGAGAAGATAAAGATGAGAAAGAGAGAGCAGGCTGGAGCAGAACAGAGCCCATGACTGAGGCTTCCGTGGCTCAGCATTCTGAGAACACCATCCAGGTTCCACACAGTCTCTTCCCTGCCTTGGGGCCTCACCCTCTGTAGAGAGCAGTCCCAGAGCTGCTGGGGCCACCACTCCTGCACCTGCTGCACCTGGCCCTCCATGGTTGGCCTCTGCCCTCAGATGAGCCTGTGTGCGTTCCCATGTCTGTGCCCCGTCCTAGGGCCCACGCATCTTGACTGCTCTGCTTTCCCTTCACAGCAAGAAGGCTTCGCCATCTACTCCGAGTACTGTAACAACCACCCCAGTGCCTGCCTGGAACTCGCCAGCCTCATGAAGCAGGGCAAGTACCGGCACTTCTTCGAGGCCTGCCGCCTCCTCCAGCAGATGATAGACATCGCCATCGATGGTTTCCTGCTCACGCCTGTGCAGAAGATCTGCAAGTACCCACTGCAGCTGGCCGAGCTGCTCAAGTACACCACGGCCGAGCACAGGTGAGGCCCGCACACAGGTCAGGCCCGCATACAGGTCAGGCCTGCACACAGGTCAGGTGGAGGCGTCCAAACACAGTGCAGGCCCACAGAGCCTGGGCTCAGGAGGCCAGCTCTTGTTCTATAGGTCATCGAGTCGCTGCACTTTCACATGGCAGTAACAGATGGCTAACACTTTGTTTTGTTTCCTAATGGTTAAGAATTTTTTAAACTTTTTACTGTGATTTGAATGAATGTGTACAGAGCAAATTGGTTTTCCGTTCAATAGTTATGTGTTATGTATAATGACACCGATCACATCCCCACATTCATCAGTTGTGTGTTATGTGTAATGACAGTGATCACAGTTTCCATTCAACAGTTGTTAGGTGTAATGACACTGATCACAATCTCCACATTCAACAGTTGTTGTGTTTTATGTGGAATGACACTGATCACAAGCCCCACATTGCTGCAGCACCCTTCCCACTTCCTCCCTGTGTTTCCACTTGTCCTCTGTTCCTGTCTCCTTCTGTCTTCTGAGCCTTATCCCTGGACAAATGTTACCCTTGTGATCTTGAGTGGTTGATTGTTCAAAGGATGAGGACCTCCCTGGTGTTACTGATATTTCAGGCCTCTTTTGTTTTATTTTCAGACGAAGGGAGACTTAAGTTTACATAGTCCATTAGCTCAGAGGACTAATAGTCTAATTTTCTTACTAAAAGAAAGGTTTTAGTTGGTATGGCCTAGTGCTTAACTAGGGAGCTCTGGTGGCCTAGTGCAAGAAGCAGCACTGCAATCCCTGAGGCACGTGGTTCGAGGCCACCAGATGCTCCACAGGAGAAGGATGGGCAATCTCTTCCATGCTTAACTGGGCTGTTACCAGAAATAGAGCCTTTTCTTCCCTTTATTATTCTGGAGAATTAATCTTGGCCACAGCCAAGGTGCTAGTGGCACAAAACAGTTAGAGAACATCTACTGCTTCAAGGCTTTGGCCAAACTAGGTAAGGATGAGGCTCTAGGATAAAGATGACTTCTCCAGGTAGGATCAAGCCAGGCACATTTATTTGTATCATTGGCTTCATGCTTTCACATTTTCTTTTCTCCAAAACTTTTTATAGTGATTGAGTGAGTTTCCTGAGTAGTTGGTTTTCCATTCACTAATTCATACACATTGTTTTGTAAACTTGATTGCAATCCCTGCATTAAAACAGCACTCTTCCCACTTTCAGCCTGTCTTTCCCTCCTCCACTCACCCTCCTTCCTAATTCCTTCTTGGCTTCAGAGCTTTATCCTTTGCCAGTTGATTGTTCTGAGCAGTGTGTTCCTCCTTGGTTTACCTGGTAGGCACGTTTGTTGTGTGACTGAAAGTTGCTCCCTGGGGCATGATAACAGTTGTAGGCTGGAAGGCTGATTAAAGGCCTCAGTGTCAGGGCTTCCTCCAGTCTCTTTCAGACTGGTAAACTTGATTTTTTTTAATGGTTTTGTATTTTGTTCCACATTTTCCTCCCACTCCAAATAGGATGCTCTTGTGGTCCCTTTTAGAGTGATCAGTAACTACCTACAGCTCTTGAAAGATTAATCTCAAAGGTTCCAGCGGAGAGCTGGAAAGGGAAACCACTGCGCCTGGAGGGAATCTGTGGCTGCAGACCATAGCCTTCTGCGTTGCCTCACAACTTCATAGGGCAGACTCCAACCACCCCGTGGGGTTTCTAGGGCTGTAATATTTGCAGGAGCAGGATGATGACCACACCTTTCTCCTGAGGAGTGGCTGGTGGGTTAGAACCAACAACCTTTGAGCTAGAAGCCAAGTACCTGTCCACTGCGCCACTCAGGGATCTCTTAGAAGTTGCCACAGGAGCAGCCATGTTGACCATGATGGTGCTTCCCACTCCAGGGAGCTAGAAATGGACATTTCTTTTGTTCTCTCTGCTTCTAATCTCTTGTGGAGACCTAGAAGGGACCTTTGTACAATTCAGTGTGAAGGCTGACAGGAGAAGGGTCACCCAGCAGCTGACAGCTTACAGAATTAAAGATGAGGGAGTAAGAGGGTTTGTTAGGAAAGATAAAAGAGAAGGATCTTTCTGTCTCTATATCTATCTCTCTCTCACACATGTATGTGGTGATGGTGGTGGTGTTGCATACCGTAGGGTCAGAACCGACCTGTAGCTGACCCTTTGGCCAATTTTCAGAGGCAATTAATTGCACATATGTGTATGTAAATACACATATTTATATTCATACACATACACACATATTATATGTTTACTATCAGAAAAGTTTGGAGAAATAGCAAATAAAAAGAGAGACATGAATTTGAATATATTTTATGGAAAAGAATGAAAAAAAAAGACATGATAAGTAGCCAGAGAAAACAAATGGGAAAAAAGTTAACAGCAAAGACACAGCCTGTTTCTTAAATCCTGAGGCAGAACCGTTACGGCTGCACATCATTCAACAATCGGTGTTAAGAAAAAAAAATCATTAGTGTGTTTTTCCCTATGAGCTTTAGTTTTACCTAACCTCATAGGTTGTAGCTATTAAAAACAAATATAAATTATTGTTTTTTTAAAGGAAATGCCAAAAAGTTATGTTCTTATAAAGAAAATAAAATATGGCCCTTTGCCTCCTTTCTGGTATTGTACCACGAAGCTCTAAGTAAAAGCCATGAGTATTCTAAGCAAAGCTAGAGACTTACAGGGTCTGGGTAGCATGCCTGGGCAGCCCACCGAGATCCCGGGTGCCACGTCCTGCTCCCTGGGTGGCTCCGGAGTGTGAATGGGCTTTCTGGGAAGCACATCTCTTTGGATCAGAGTCGGCTTTGTGTGGAAAGGCCGATGGAGTGGGGCAGGTGGTGGAGTGGGGGTCGGGCTCTGAGTGCTATTGCGTTTGGTAAATAGACGATGGAATCTGCCTCCCTAGTGGGTTTTTTTTCCCCACGGCCTTGCGGGAGGATTCTAATTTTGTCCAGTTAATCTCCACTGGCTCCGCAGGAAAGTGCCAGAAAGTGAAAATCTTCAGCCCACTAGCTGGATTGATTGTTTTGCACGACCCCAAGTGATCCATGTTGAGCAAAACTTGAATGTCAAGTTTTGAGCTCCAGGCAGGCTCTGTTCTGGCCTGGTGTCACTTAGAATTCCAGTCTGTAGTGGTAGAAGGCTTCGGAATTGAGGTCCCTCAGGGAAGCCTTTCCATTTGCTCAGATTATGGTTTAGGGAAGCCACTCAAAATGATTTCCTGGTCTTTTAGTGAGTAAATCCCTCATTACATTCACATGATCAACCACTTCCAGCTGCCGAGGCTGAGCAAAGCATTAGTCCTGATAATGGCTAGTGATTTTTATTGTGCTTGACCTCACAGGACTGGTCACTTCAGTCTCAAAGCCAGCATAAAAACAGTCCTCTGTGATTGAAAATGATCCATTGTCCTGGCAAAGGCTTGGCTCCTGGTGGCATTTGCTTTCATTCACTGACTTCTGGGAAATGAATGAGACCGTTCTTGTGCTGCACTTGGTCAGTCCGCCAAACCTCTGCAAACTGTGGTCTATTCATGGGGGACAAGAGCTGGGAACAATGGCAGCCACTTAAATGCCACTTTGTTCGGACGCAGAGCATCATGTTACCATTCCTCACTTGGGAGTCACATTCAGTGCTGTAAAATGCACCTCCCGTTTTGCAGTGATTACAACGACATCAAGGCAGCCTACGAGGCCATGAAGAATGTAGCCTGCTTGATCAACGAGCGGAAGCGCAAGCTGGAGAGCATAGACAAGATCGCCCGCTGGCAGGTGTCCATCGTGGGCTGGGAGGTACGTGTGTCCCCCGTTCCTCCTCAGCCCTGCTTGCTCCCTCCTCCACCACCTACGTGTGTTTGACACTGGTTTTTTGTTTGTTTGTAAATATATTCTTATTGTGATTTTGACAAAGGTTTACAGAAAAGTTGGGTTTTCATTCATTTGTTGTCGCACATTTTTCTCCTCCCTTCTTCCCTCCTCCCCCAGCCCACCTACAATGCACCTCTTGTTCTAGATTGTTGTCATACACATGATGCCTAATCATACGCTCCTTTCAGACACTCATCAGCTCCAATGCAGTGTTCTTTAGCTATCCACTCTTTTCCTGTTATCCCCGCATGCCCACATGTCTATCCTATTTTATAACAGCAGTGTTATGTAGTGTTTGTCCTTTATCACTGAGATATTTCACTCAGTGTAATGTCCTCAAGGCTCCTCCACGTTGTGTAATGTTTTATTAGTTAATCTTTTTCAGTGTTTTGTAATACTCCATTGTGTGAATGTACCATAGTTTTTCTGTCTAGTTATTTCTTGGGCTGGGCTGCTCCCATCTCTTAGCTGTTGTGAATAACACAGCAATAAACATAGTTGTGCATATAATTGACACAGTTATGTCCTTGGTCCCAACGGCTTAAATGTATGGAGGCAAATGGTTGGACAGAAGAGTCTACTATACCTTCCTCCAGGGATGAAGAGATTCCATCTGAAGAGTGTGTAATTAAATTACCATCTGCTCACCTTCTGCCTTGCCTAGAGTAAGCTCCATGAGAGCAGCCAGAGGCCAGGTAAAATGCAGAGTAGAAAGAGTCTGCTTGCCTGCGAATCCTGTGTGATTCTGGTGAAGTGATTCTTTTCACCCAGAAGCTCAGGAGGAAATTATGACCCTGTGAGGTCATAGGGCTGCTGTGAGGATTTGCTCCCCACTCCAGACCTGGTGACTTCTGGTTGCTCCACTCACAGCAGCCTTGCATCAGGTTTCTGAGGTCATACATCTCAGTGGGAAGAGACTGCCCAGCAGCTGGCAGGTTCAAAGCACCAGCCTCTATTCTCAAAAATCTCATTGCTGTCAAATTGGAATCAACTCATAGCTGGCCCTCCCACGGGTTTTCAGAGGCTGAAAATCACACAGGAGGAGTTTGCCCATGTTTCTCTCGGAGCAGCTGGTAGATTCTATAGAAAATGCCACCAGAGCTGCCTCTGTTATTAGGCTAGTAACTTTTCAATTAGTTGCCTAATACTAATGGTCCACCAATAGAACTAGTGTAGAATAAAACAAATACTCATCTGTACATACAGACATTTCTGTGGTCACTTTGTTTATTAAAACAGTAATAATAGCTACCATTTGTATTTGACACTAGACCAAGCCCATTACATATATTAATCCTCTGAACAACCCTATGAAGTGGGCACTGTCATATGTCCATTTTTCAGATGGAACACTGGAGTACAGAGGGTAAATAGTCATCGTGGTCACACAGCTAGGCACTGACAGAGTTCTCTCATTCTTGTTAGAAGCAGTAGACGGTGAGCTGGAGGGTGGGTTTTCAGACCAAGCAAGGCTTACGCCACATGCCATAACTGGCCACTTTCACCCTGGGAACTCACCCTCCCAGAGAAAGGAGAAAGTCTGGATTCTTGAGAATGTGGGGTTTTGTCTTAAGTGAGCCATGCAGCAGTGAGAGTTGGAAGGAAACATTCCAAGGGCCTGGGATGTTTGTAACACTGATCAGACCCTCAGGGACCAAAGAGTCTTACTCTCCATTTTACAAGTGGAGAATCTCAGGCCCAGTATTGATTTACACAAACAAACAGAAGGGATGTTTTAAAAACATCAAACATCAAAGCCTTTTCCTTCCAAATGATATTATCTGTGATTGGGATTAAAGAAGTGTGCAAAAAGTGCAAAGCCATAGGCAATTTTGTAACAAATATTATAAATGTTATATTGAACTAGATCCACCCTAAATATCTGAGAGTCTTTTCTTCCCCTGCTGATTTTGCATGGAGGGGATAACTGGTCTTCAGAAGTTAACTAGTTTCTTGCTGCCCATTTACCACCTTTTAGCCACGATCCTATGCCTGTTTTCATTTCACTCTACACCTGCTCCAGAGAGCAAAGGTTTATAGCACTTGTTCTCATGTACTTAGCCCTGGTAGCCCAGTGGATTAAGTATTAGCTTATTGACTGGAAAGTCCATGGTTCAAATCTACCAGCTGCTCATGGAAACCCCGTGGGGCAGTTCTGTTCTGTCATACAGAGTCACTGTGAGTCAGAACCGACGAGGTGGCAGTGTCTGTTTTGGGGTGGGTCCCATGCATATGTAGCCTCTTTGAAGATTCCTTTTTCTGGAGTTTCAGATGCTCCGTTTGAGGATTTTGCCAGTCCAGGAGCTTCCAGCAGTAACTTCTTATCTATCAGGCAGATCCCTGAGCTAACCTAGAGATGCATTTAGAATCTTCCCACCGAGTAGGAGAGAAAAGACTTTCACATGTAAGGAGAGTGATAACTGAGCTGTAAAATGGCCTCTGAATTGGCAGCTGGAGTGGACGCCCTGTGGCAGCCAGCACCAGAGGTCCTTCATGTGTCTGTCTTTCCAGGGGCTGGACATCTTGGACCGAAGCTCTGAATTGATCCATTCTGGGGAGCTGACCAAAATCACCAAGCAGGGCAAGAGCCAGCAGCGGACTTTCTTCCTGTTTGACCACCAGTTGGTGTCCTGCAAAAAGGACCTGCTGCGCCGGGACATGCTCTACTACAAGGGCCGCACGGACATGGACGCCATGGCGCTGGTGGACCTGCCCGACGGGCGCGACCGCGACTTCAACCTCAGTGTCAAGAATGCCTTCAAGCTCGTCAGCCAGGCCACGGACGAGGTCCACTTGTTTTGTGCCAAAAAGCAGGAGGACAAGGTGCGGTGGCTACAGGCATGTGCAGACGAGAGGCGCAGGGTGCAGGAGGACCAGGAGATGGGTGAGCACTACACAGTGTTTGAGTCTTGTTCTCTAACCCTTCTCTCCCGCCCGCATCTTAACTCTCCCCAGCGCCTCCACTCCAACACACACAGAGTCACAGCCTACCACTGGGAAAGAAAAAGAAGGTGCAAATCCTAAAAACTCATAGTCTATAATCATATTGCTGACCGGAAGGTCCATTTCGAGTCCACCAGCTGCTCCACAAGAGAAAGACAGGCAGTCTCCTCCTATAAAGATTTGACAGCCTCCAAAACTCGATGGATGAACACCATGAGTTGGGATCGACCCTAAGAGTGGGTTTTGGGGTTTTGTTAATAATCCTGAGCTTGCTCCTAAGTCAGAACATGACAGTTTTTGCAGCTGGCATTTATCCACACTTGCGTAGGCTCTCATTCCATCCTTACACAGCGCCTGATGCAGATACTGATTATTATGCTCACTTTATGGGCAAGAATAGTAAGGTACAGGACACTGTCTGTTCTTACATCATGGCTGAGAATCATTTAAGACTAAGCCCATGTGGCTCCAGAGACTTTTACCCAATGCATTAAGAGCAAATGAGACTTCCTTTTACTATAATTATTATTATATATTATTGTTGTTATTCAAAGTATCCACAGTAAAGCATACCAATTCAACAATTTCTCCATATACATTTCAGTGACATTGATTACATTCTCCAAGTTATGTAGTCATTCTTTTTTTTTAATTTATTATTAATTTCAGGGAAAATTTACAGAGACTTTGGGTTTCTATTCATTCATTGTTGCACTTTTCTCCCTTCCCAACCCTCCCCCCTAGTACACTACCCTCTTGTAAAAGTAAAACAAAAATTCTTTCATTGTTTACAAACCACTCCACTATGCAGCCTTCGCTCTGGACTGCTGTCATGACAAAAATACCTAATCACATACCCCTTTTAAACAGTTTTCTCTCTTATCTGTTTCAATGCAGTGTACATTTTTTAACCCATCTTTCTCAGTCTCCACCCAATCCCAATGTCAGTCCTGTTTTACAATAGTGGCACCATCCAGTATTTATTCTTTTGTGACTGAGATACTTCACTCAACATAATGTCCTCCAGGGTCACCCATTTTGAATAATATTGCATGAATTCCTCATTTTTCAGTGCAGCGTAGTATTCCATTGTGTGAATATATCACGGCTTCTCTATCTGTTCGTTTGTTGATGGGCACTTAGGTTGTTTCTAACTCCTTGCTATTGTGAAAAAAGCCGTGATAAACATGGGTGTGCATATATCTGCTTGGATGTCAGTTATGGCCTCTTTAGGGTATATTCCCAGTAGTGGAATTGCTGAGTCAAATGGTATCTCTATTTTCAACTTTTTGAGAAAGCGCCATACCGCCTTCCACAGTGGTTGCACCATTTTACACTCCCACCAACAGTGAATAAGGGTTCCAGTTTCTCCACAACCTTGCAGGCATTTGCTGCTTGCTGTTAAATTTTGCTATTCTGACTGGGGTGAGATGATATCTCATAGTTGTTTTAAATGCAGTCATTCTCACTATGCATTTACAAATTACTCATCCCCCAGTGACATAAATAAGGTGCTCTCCAGGCTTCCTGTCTGAACTTCTGAATTACTGTTGTCAGTTTTACCTCATAGATAGATCTCTAAAAGAGGACTATGTTCAAGGCAGACATTGTTTACTAAGCGAACTGATTGTTCCTGTAGGGAGTGTTCTTGGTTTGAGTCTGAAATTGTTGAGTCAGGTCAACAGTTGTGGGTATTCAGACAGCCTCAGTGCCACCAGAAGATCTGCATTATGTAAGACTCTGGATTTCTGCTCCGCATTTTATCCCCTTTTGATTAGGATTCTTCTCTAGACACTCAGATGAATCTAAGGCTCTCAGGTTTAGCTTGCATTTACTGTAGATATTACCTGGCCCCCCTCAACTCTCCCAACATCTCTTCCTGGGTCTTTCCACATGAAGCTCAGTGCTGTGCACCTTGAGTTAAAGTTAGGCAGTGTGTCTCCATTTGAATTTTTATGCCCTTTGTTGTTCTGCTCATTTTCCCATCTCTCTGCTTGCTTTGTTCCTGTCTCGCCAACTCCTGAGCCTGGCGTCAATGATGGCAGCATCTCTGGCCTCTAAGCCCAAGGTCCAAATGATTCCCAAGCTCATTAGGGTTTTGAGCACAAAGTTTGATTGGAGGCCAGGATATCCAGATACCACAGGGCTTTAAGGCTGAAGTGGAGTGAAGGATAGTCCTCTGCGCACTCTGAGAACCTATTTACCTCAGAGTGTTGTGGCCCAGTGTGGCTACTCCACCTTGCCCACCTTCCCAGCTGAAGTCACCAGCTTTGCTGGAGTAAGAGCTGAAAATAAAAACCACTCTCTAGCACATGGGGCAAGCCATCTTCTGGCCTGGGCTTGGCCATAACCTCAGTCGTTCATAGTTGGGAGAGGTTTACAAGTCAGAGCAGCTAATCTCCAGGCAAAGCCTGAGTATCTGCTGAAATGCTTTCAGCAAGCCAACATCAGCCTGCACTTAAGTACCTCTAATGTCATGGAACTCACTTCTCCACAAGCTGTAGTCCCTTCCTTCTATGTGTTGGCACGTTCTTTATATTGAGAGAAAAATCTAATCCCAAGCTAAGGCCAGTCATGCTATCATTTCCCAGATATTTGCAGATTATAATGAGTTAAATGGCAGAACCACAGAATGGACCCATATAAACTTGTGTGGCCCGATATAGTTCATAAGTTGCAGGACTTCCTGTTCCCTGAAGCAGAACTGACAGGGAGTACAGGATGCTTCTCAGCTCGGCTCAGGACCAGCATTTACAGACCCCAGTCTGCAGCAGGAGGAGCCCTGAGGCATAGAGGTTCGGCATTCTCTTGCTAACCAAAAGGTTAGTGGTTCAGATTTCCCTGTAGCTCCAGAGAAAGAGATGCTGTTGGTCTACAAAGATGATGGCCTTGGACACCCTGTGGGGCAGTCCTGCTCTGTCCTGCAGGTTCACTGAGAGGCAAAGTTGCCTTGAGGCACCTAGGCCTCCATGGAAAGAAGTCTCATGCCATAGGATGCATTTCCTTTCCTGTGGGTTCAGCCATTGACAGGAAAGCTAATGGTTTAAATCCCTGGAAGGAAGCTGCAGCAGTCTGCTTCCATGAAGGTCACAACTTTGGAAACCTATTGGGACAGTTCTGCTTGGTCCTACACAGTCGCTATGAGTTGGAGTCAACTCAGCAGATGTGGCTTTGGTTTTGGGGGTTTATTTGCAGTGCAGTGTTTGTCCAGAGACAGTGCTCAGGGGACTTGAATGCATGAATGAATGGATCTGTGAACTGAGGCCCATGCAGTGTTATCTTCCTTACCTGCAGGGTATGGTGGTCTTACATGGCATGTGTCTCATGTGTAGGTCGTGCCTCTCTTAGAGGTAGGACTTGGAGAGTCAGGCCAGAGAATGGGCATGGAGGGAGAGTAGGCTAGAAGAAATGCCAGCAGCCAGTCAGGACCAGGTGCCACGACAAGATTCTAACCTCAAATTCCCTTCCCTCCCTCCCCTTTTTTCTAAAGACAAGATTTCCTAGACTGGCTAAGACTGAAAGACTCTTCAACATAGTTGCCCTGACATAACTCTCCACACCTTAAACTGAAACTAACCCTTGAAGTTGACTTAGAGCTAATTAGCAAACTGACTCATGAAATAAGGAGTATCACCTGTGAATACCACACTCCTTTAAAAAAGAACAAATAAACAAACCACACCTTTATGCAGCCAGACCATCAACAACTACTTTAAAAAAATTTTTTAAAAAGCTGGGGCTATAGGCAGGAAGACTAGATTATTGGAAACAGAATGACCAGAATGGAAATAAAGAGGCTAATCACTCTCTGAGGAGAACATAAGCAATTCCACGGAGCAGTTTGTATGGATATTTCTAAAACCTAAACTGCTGTGTAGACCTTCACTTGAAAACACAGAAAATTTTTCATTCCCTACCTTGGAAGACAGGTTTGTCTCAAGATAGTAAGTAGACTTACAGGCATAGCCACCCCGGTGACAGGCTCTCTCCTTGTTTTCCAGTGTCTTTACCCTCTTGGGGATCCTTGAGGAGCAAGCTCTTAGCATAGAGTTATGGTAGAGACCTCAGGGCTAAAATGGATTTGGGTACAAGTTTATTGCTGGTACGTTTTCACTTGTTTTGAACATCTGTCACCTTTCTTCCAGGAATGGAAATTTCAGAAAATCAAAAGAAAGTCGCCATGTTAAATGCACAGAGGGCAGGACAGGGAAAGACGAAAGGTAAGGTTTTGAGAAGGCTTCGTTCACCCCTTCCTGGGTGTTAGGATTGACATTTATGTGGGAGCAGATGCCAAGGCCTGTAACAGGATCAGTTCTGACCTAAGAGGAGGCTGTGAGGAAAGCAAGGGAGGGTAGACCCAAAATAAGAGAAGCTCTGCTTTGATCTTGAGAGGGCATCATTCACTTATTCTTAAATATGGACATTTTTAATGCCCTGGCGTTTGGAACTTTTCAGGCTGCAGTGAAATGTTTTGTGAAGTGGCTTCAGAAAGCTTCCAGATGTTCTGTCCTGCAGACAGCCTCAGTGCCCCATCCCTCCCGGAACATGGTGGTGTTATCCAACAGGCCATCACGGTCCCTTGGACAGAGGCAAACACAATCCTCTGCCATTTGGAGCGCAACTTTTGTTGAGTAAGAAGTGTCCAACCCTAAAGTTGTCAGCTACAGAAAACACTCTAAGAAGAAAGCCCTGGAAATATAGTACCTTTAGCAATGAATTAAAAGAAAAAGAAGTCATACTAACTCATTTAGCTCAGCCATTCTCTACCATGGTCTCAAATGAGAATTACCTGAAGACTTACTGAAAACAGATACACCTTGGTGGTGTAGTGGATTGCGTGCTGTGCTGCTATCTCAAAGGTTGATGGTTCAAGTCTTCCAGCAGCAACTCCTTGAGAGAAAGATGGGCAGGCTCCTCCCATAAAAACTTACAGCCTTGAGGGAGCTCTGGTGGCCTAGTGGCAGGAAGCTGCACGGCAATCGCAGAGGTGCGCGGTTTGAATCCACCAGATGCTCTGCTGGAAAAAGAAGGACAATCTCCTCCTGTACCAGTCAGATCCAGTTTGATGGTACACACACAAATAATAATAATAAAATTTTTTAAAAACCCACCTTATAGCCTTGGAAACCCAAGGAAGGGCCATAACGAGTCAGGCTTGTAGCAGTGAAAATTGTTAAAAATATGCATGCCCAGAGGTTCTAAGATGCAAAGAATGATTTCCACCATGTAGATACTTTATATTATTTAACCGAACAGGGATTAAAGATTAAAGATTTTTTTGTTTGTTTATCCAAAAAAACATACGGAACCACCTTAGGGACTTTATTTTGATTGACAACTCAGGAAGGGGTTCATCCTGTTCTGTATTTTCCTAACTGAAAAGGCGTGAGACAAACCATCTAAACTCCAGGCTGAACCACACCAGCACCTGGCGTCCACGTCCTGCTCAAATTCAGATCTCACCTCCCCCATTTGGTGTCAGTGGTGCTCACATCCCTCACCTTGCCACGCGGTGAAAATACCCTTAAAGCAGAAAACCCATTTTATATCTTCTTTGTGTTCCTCAGTTAGTTATTGGACTCAGTCGGTTTCACTCACTCTCTCGGTGGGAAGGCACCAAGAGAAAGGCACACACACTCGGACAGTCACTGTGTCAGACACTGGACATAGGTCATTTAGCACCTCTAGGGACCTGGCAGAGGACCCCTGGTGACGCGGTGGGTAAGCACGTGGCGGCTCGACAAAAGGTCAGCAGTTTTTGCCCAGGAGCCGCTCTGAGAGGAGAAAAACGAGGGGAGGGCCTCTGCTTCTGTAAACCCCGCAGCCTTGGAAGCCCTGTGGGCAGGTTGGCCTGGTCCTATGGGACTCTGAGAGTTTGGATTTTAAGAGGCTGCTGCAAAGGAGCCGTGGTGGGGGAAATGGTTATGCTCAGCTGCCGACTGAAAGACTGCGGTTCAAAACCACCACCACCCCGTTCTGTAGAAGAAAGATCTGACCTGGATAAAAGGTACCCTTGGGGCGGTTCTGCTGTCTGACTTGAGGTCATCCTGAGTTGAAAATGACTGAATAGAAGCATCACTCTGAAAGGAGTCTCTGGGTGGTACAGAAGCTTAAACACTAGGCTCCTAAGCTAAAGGTTAGTGGCTTGAATCCACCCAGATGTGCTTTGGAAGTAAGGCCTGGGGATCTGCTCCAAAAGGTCGCTGCCTTGCAAACCCTGGGAAGCAGTTGCTTCTGCTTCTCACACTTGACATCACCAGACTCTGGCGTCAGTTCACTGTCCACTAACAGCGGCAAAACCCTGCACAGGGTCCCTGGCTGGCACGGACAGCTTCCTCTCGGCTTCTCACTAGAGGGCCCTCTGCGAGATGGCCGGCACAGTGGCTGCACCAGTGGGCTCAGCACAGCAGCGACTGACGAGGGGCAGCGTGTTGTCCTGTTGTGCATGGGTCACTACTCAGCACCTAACCACAACTAATCTAAAGGTTAGAGGTTGCAACGGCAGCACTCAGATGAGCTTTAATTGAAAGGCCTAGCATGTGGAAGGCCCGCCAGCTCTCAGCAGCAGCAGGGACGGCCCTGTCAGAGAAGAATCTTAGAGGAAGTCAGGGCAGAGATGCATCCAAAGTAAAGGTCTACTTCGCTCATTCGATCCTGCTGTCTTTGATCTTGTCAGTAATTTCATTAAGCCTTTAATTGTGTCAGCACAGATTTAAAAGGTCAAATGAACTAGAGCTCTGGTGGCGTAGTCAGTAGGAAGTAACACTGCTAACACAGTGGTGTGCCTCTGGCAGGTCAAATCTAGCCTCAGCTTCTCTAAAGATGGCAGTCTCCTCCTGGGTAATTTAAGCTTCAGGAAAACCTGCTGGAGGGTCAGCTCTGAGTCAGCTGCAGCAACGTGAATGTTCCCGTGAAGCCATTTGTATTGAATCAATTAATCAGGTAGAATGCCTCAGGTGAGAGAGATGGACAGGCACGTTCAGAGCGCATACCAGCTGCCGGGCTGTGTTTATACTTGAACTTCCATTAGCCCGCTGATTCTTCTAAGAGCCTGTTTTGGAGCTTAGCTAAACTTGCACGACCAGTAAGTAGCTAGGTAGCACTTGGACTGAAGCAACACAAACTCCATGCTTTCTTTGACACATTGCTGCACACTTTTAAAATTGACAACCGTGCTAAGAAACTTGCCGTCATTTGCAGCAATGTGTTAAAAGCTTTAATTGCTCCTCATTCTAACTAGCCGTCCAGTTATAACCTGCCTGTCATCTCTTCTGTGAGGCCTGTTAACTGCCATCAGGTGGGCCCTGATTCACAGCGCCCCCAGTCACAGCATGATGGAACCCCGCCCAGCCCTGCTCTGGCCCTGTGATCGATTGTGGATCACATCGGGTGTGGGATCGATAGAGTTTTCGTTGACTGAGTTTTGGCTGGAAGCTCCACTGAAGCCGTTACTCAGCATTATCACAGCACGCAAGCTGCTCTTTGGCAGGGAATCAAACCTGGGTCTGTAGCATGGAACATGAGAATCTTGCCTTTGAATCCCCTCTGTCCCCACTGTGTGACTTAAACCAATTCCAGTACCATCAGGTCAGCTCCAGCTCCAGTAACCCTGTTGGACAGTAGAACTGCACTAGGGGTTCCCAGACTATACCCCTTCCAGAAGGAGACTGCTGTGTCTTCTCACTCAGAGTTACTGGTTGGGTTTGAACTGCTGACCTTTTGGCTAGCAGCCAAGCACTTAACCACTGAGCCACCAGGCTTGCCTCCCACACAGAAGCTGGACGTGGTGTTTTCTAAACGATAACTAGTGTGTGTACTTATGGTGACTTTGAATGGGGATTTGGCGAGCACTCCTTTGTCTTGGTACTCACAGCGTCTTGCACATTCTGTCCCCTCTCTTCCAGGCTACAGTGGCTGCCCGGTGCCGCCACCCCACCAGAACCTCCTCCCCATCCACCAGCGCCACATCACCGTGCCCACCAGCCTCCCACAGCAGCAGGTCTTCGCCTTGGCGGAACCCAAGCGGAAGCCTTCACTTTTCTGGCACACCTTCAACAAGCTCACCCCGTTCAAGAAATGAAGGTGTCTGGTCACCTCCACCGAGCTGACCGTCACCAGGGAGCCACCACTGCCTGTGTGGTACAGGAGTCCCCAGTGCGTCACCCTGACCTGGTGCTGAAACTTCTCTCTGGGGGTCAAAGGGAAGGAAGCCTCCCACTTGCCTTCAGTCTCCAAAACCCCAGCTGCCTTCTGGGAGGGAGGAGAAGGTCATGAAGCACAGTGTTCACACACCCCGGCACCTACTGTGGCCTGTTCTGACGGGCCAGGGACTTGGGGACCAGCGCGTGCTCGGAAGTCGTGGCGTGGGGGCCTGTGGCAGCCATGTGGCTAATGATGAGTGCGTCCTTTCTGACCCAGATCGGGCTCCAGTCCAGGAACTCAGCACGTCTCCTCTGAACAGGGTCCTGCGTGCCAGCGGTTCTGGAAGGATCCACAGGGACAATGCTGATCCAGTGCTGCCTCTTGCCAGCAAGCACTTGAGAGAGATCTGGAGGGAGAGCCGTAGCGTTAGGGGACTTAGGGCTGTGGAGAGGGCACAGAGTTCCTGCCTGTTATCCACCAAGCTGCCAAATAGGAATACAGGCTCCATCTCACAAGGTTCCTCATGTCTCGGCATCAGCTCACAGTGCAGTGACTCAGCGTTCAAGCCCTGCGCCTGTTTGCGAGGGAGCTGTCCCCTGGCATCTTCACCATGGCATCTTCACCCTGGCTGAGCCCAGGCAGAAGCTCGGGCACTTGTGTGTGTCGGACTGGACAGGCATAGATCCTGGCATCACCCAAGACATGCCACCATTCCACAATTTCTGTTACAGAAAGACCTTTTTTTTTTTTTTTTAAATTTTGATGGCAAAACAAGTATGAAGAAAATACACCCACCTGTCCAGCTTTCTGCACGAGCACCAGTGCTCTCCCATCTGTCACGTCTGATGTCCCGTGAACTAAAGGACAGTGACACTGAACATTCCACTGAGAAAGCTCTGCAGCCCGCACACCCTGCCTTGTGGTCCGACTGTCGTGTGAGCCCACAGCAGCGGTGCACACCTGCTGCACACACACCCTCAGCAGATACAGACTGAGAGATCGGGATCAGTGTTTGACAAAGCCTCACTGGCCAATACCTGCAGTCTCCTCCTCGTTGTCTATATTGTAAATCTTGATGAAAAGAGTTGCTGTTTTGTTTTGTTTTTTAAAAAAAATATCTAGAGAAGACACGCTGTAAAGGTAGATGCGTGGCATCCACTTGGTCACTGGGCGTGAGGGGATTGGATGACGGTGTATGGATTCCTACTTGAAAGTTCTCTGTTGTACACTACTCTGGGAGAGTCCCTTTTGTGAGCAGGTACACGCTTGAGAATAAACACATCTGTAATGGCAAAGTAAGAGAGGTGTCGTGTTAAGTCTGCTGTACATGGCATCTCTCCTCACCCACACCTGCCCCACCCCACACCCAGTCTCGCTATTCTAAAGTGAGGGGACTGGCTGGTGAAAGAAGACCGAACCCTGGACCCGAGACCGGCCACTTGAAAACTGTGGTGTGACCTTTCTTTTTATTTATTTATTTTTATTTTATATTGGTGTGCATACCAAATTCATATACATTATGGAGGTTGTGGTGTTTGTTTTACCTACAAATTCCATTACCATCTACCTGTCATCTTCCACAGCAGGACTTACATTATTTTTGTTTGTTTGGTTGGTTTTTTAAGTTTTTCCTTTTATACTGGTTTATTTACAAGGTTTTGTATACATTGTTTTTCACACCAGATCTTTCCCATTTCTTCACCTTCCTCACCCCATCAAATTGTGTGACCCTATGATTAACACACACACACCCTCCCCTGCCCATCCTCACCCCTCAGCTCCCCTTCTCCCCTGGCTTGTATGCTCATACTCGTTCTACAATAATAGTCTTATACAGCATTTGGTGTGGCCATTTTTTATGAAGGCTCCATAGCTCTTTGTCCTGTTGGTTTACTCCTACTTACGTAAAGGCCCATCGCTGAGAAGTTGTCAAGCTCTGTGACTGACAAAGCCATGGTTGTGTCTATGAGCGAGCAGTACCCTGACATAGACGTACTAGAATTGTAACAGAGATTCCCAGGAGGCACTGAGGCTCCGTGTGTGTGTGTGTGTGTGTGTGTGTGTGTGTGTGATGTTGCTGAGGCTCTGTGTGTGTGTGTAGAATGTTGTTAGCTGCCATCAAGCCAACTGCAACACATAGCCCCCCATTGAACAAGAGATCTGCCCGTTGCTCTGTCCTGCACCATCCTTACCATCTCTGATAGGCTCGAGACCATTGCTGCAGTCACTGTCAATCCATCTCATTCAGGGTCTTCCTCTCTTTCATTCACCTCCGCCTTTCCAAGCATCATTGCCCCTTCCTGACGACATGCCCAAAGCATGTGAGATGAAGCTTCGCCATCCTTGCTTCTAAGCAGCTCCCTGGTTGCACTTCCTCCAGGACAGATTGATTTGTTTTTTTGGCAGTTCAGGGGATATTCAGTACTCTGCTTCCACCATCACAATTCAAAAGCAGCCATTCTTCATTTTTCCTTATTCATAGTCCAACTTGCACATGCATTGGAAGCAATTGAAGAGATTATGACTTGGATCCGATGCGCTTTTAGTCCTTTAAGCTGACATGGTTGCACATTAGCACTTTGGAGAGGTCCTTGATGGTAGATTTCCCCACTGCCACAAATATTTTGGTTTCTTGACTACTGCACCCATGGGCGTTGATCCAAGTAAAATGAAATCATTGACAACTTCAGTCTTGACTCTGGCTATCACGATGTTTGTTGTCTGTTGGTCCATTGTGTTGAATAGATATGTCAATTTGAGTTGCATTTCTATAAGGCAGCTTTTTATTAATAAAATACAGTGAAACCTATGGGAGCCAGAACCCAGTGGGACCCTTCTTAACTTAACTAGGTCTCATAAATTTCCTGATTTTACTGGGTAGAGTCTTACCACTTTTCTTTTGCTTTCTTTTTTTAAAAAAAAATTTGCCCTTTCTGTCTCTGCCATAGGTAGAGTGGACTAGAGAGGTGTTGGTCGTACTGTAGTGTGCATAAATAGTTGTGCTGCCAACCCAAAGGCAGGCAGCTCGAATCCACCATAGTAGAAAGATGGACTGTCTCCTTCTGTGCACTCTGCAGCCTCTGAAAACTGCTGGAGGGCCAGTTATGGGCCAGTTACGACTCGAGGGCACATAACAACAATCTGCCAGGGTCCTGCCTTGTAAATGGGCCATGATTTTGCAGATTTTACCATGCCAAGAGCTATTTTAAAGACTTTACCTAATAGGATGATCAGGTACACCAGCCTCACTTTCTGTACACCTCAGCAGAGCTCTCTGTGCTAAATAAATTATTAGTATGCACTACAGTTTGGCATCATTTTGGTTTGATGGCGGAAATAAAGAAGAACCAATGAATGGCTCGGGTCACATTTTCCATGAGGACTCATTTGTATGAAGCATCACGCAGCTGCTTTTTACTAATACCATAAACCTGGTTAGTGAAGAAACGTATTCTGTTTTGTGACCATTCCTCATTTATCACCCAGCTGAGCCCTAACTTCTGAATGCTACCTGCATGTTGCTGGGCTTCCTGATGGAGGACCATGAGTGCCAGCATGCATTCTTACTGTCCGGTCCCATTCACATGCAAGCCGGACATTGACCACAGGGCTGCTCCTGTTAGAAGCATGAGAGTTACTCCATCAAATACCTGTTCCAGGAAGATCCCACTTAGGTTCCACATTGTGGGTAGAATCCTCGACAGCCTTCAGGATACAAGAATGTTTTTGTAAGAAGAAATTACCATTTACTTTCTTTATGTCTGTATGTCTAGCTTTTCTTTTTCTGGACAACTATGAAGAATTGAAAGCCCTGGTATCTCAATTTCAGGTCTGCCAAACTCCCTTCTTGATTTCAGTCCTTCAGAAAGGAAGCATACAAAGAGCTGCTTATGTAGATTTTGTGTGGATTCACTGGGAAAATCTATTGCTCTTTCTTACCTTACATTTCATAATGTCACAGAGGTGAGAAAAATGACATATCATTTTAAGAAGCTCAGCTTAAAACAGCTTTCCAGACTGGTCCCGGCGCAATGGCCCCCGCAAAGAAGGGAGGTGACAAGAAGAAAGGCCATTCTGCCACCAATAAAGTGGTGAGCGAACACCATCAACATTCACAAGCACATCCGTGGAGTGGGATTTAAGAAGCGTGCCCCTCGGGTACTCAAGGAGACCCAGAAATTTGCCGTGAAGGAGGTGGGAACACCAGATGCTCGCATTGACACCACAGCCGTCTGGACCAAAGGAATGAGGAATGTCCCATACCACATCCGCGTACAATTGTCCAGAAAATCTCCTAAGCATGAAGATTCCTCAAACATGCTGTATACACTATGTACCCGTCACCACTTTCAAAAATCTACAGATGGTCAGTGTGGATGAAAACTAATAGCTGATTATCAAATAAAGTTATGAAACTGTCAAAAGACAAAAGAAAATGGCTATTTAGCCAGAAGTCTAATCTGGTTTGCTGAATATGTGAGAAGTGCTATTTGCAAGAATACATGGGCTGTCTTCCCATTCATTCATATTTCAGAATTTTCAAACTGTTAGGGACAAAAAGACTGAATGGCCTTTGGTCAAAAGGTAATGTCTACATTTTTATCATGCTTAAAGTAACTACAACCTTATAACAGAGAAGCAATAGTAAAATATTTGTGAAATCCTCGAAAGAAGGAAAAAACCATTTTGTCTCTGACCTGAAAAGCAGAGGGTTGCACCAGTTCCTTCTGATCCTTCCTAGAGTTCCCAGAAGCTCTAATGGCACTGTGGCTAAAGCATTCTACTGCTAATCAAAAGGCTGACAGTTTGAACCCACGGTCCACTCGGGACAGAGATGCGCAGTCTGCCTTGGTAAAGATACACGGCCCTGAAAACCCTGGAGCAGCTCTGCTCTACCCCGAGTTGGAATTAACTCAGTGGCAGTGGATTTGAGTTCCT